TATTACGGTTTTTTATTAGTTAATTTTTTTATTATTTTAAAATATTTATAAATAAACTTCTAGTAAAAATTAAAAAACCTAGAAATATTTAGATTTCTCGAATATTATTTTTAAAACTAATTATTTTTTAATAGCTATAATTTAGCTAGCTTCTATTTTTATATTATCTAAACTAATTATAAATCTCAAAAACTTTACTTTTTTATATTAAATTTATATTTTATTAAGTTTATAAAAAACTAATATTATTATAATTATTTAAGTATATATTAGACTACTATTATATATTATTTTAAGTTTTTTAAATAAATTAAAATATTATTTAAATAAATTATACAAATAATATTTATAAAGCCTATTAATATATAATTAATATATATCTAGAATATTACTAAAATATTAGAAAATCCAAAAAATATAATATAATATTTGAAATATTTATAATATATTCGAAATATTATTTTTTATTTATTACTTTCCCGGATTTATAACTAATAATAAATATTTTTTAAGTCTAGTTTTATATATATTTTTATTTTATAAAGCTTATTTATTATTTTACTAATAAATAATAATAGTATTTGATTTTTAGTAATAATTTTATTTAGGTTTCAATAATTAATATATAAATATAAGCTATCTCTTTTCTTTAAAATAAATATAATTAGAATATTAGCTAGATTAATAAAAAAATAATAAAAAAATTCTAAGCTAGTATTAAGATATTTCCGAAAAACTTTAAACTTTCTTTTTAATAAAATATATATAAGGCTATATAGTAATTATAATTCTAGTTTCAGATTTATATAATAATTAGGTAATATACTTATAGTTTCTATAAAAAAATACTTAGAAAAATTCTAATATTTCCTAAAAAATATAGCTATTTTATTTATAATAATAATAGTAATTATTTAGCTATTTATTATAAAATAGATAATTAACAGAAAAATATATATTTTATATTTTATTATTTTAATAAATTTTCTAATATTTAGAACTTTAATTTCCTATAATTAAATCTAGTATTTTTATATTATTTTCCTAAAAGAAATTAGGAAATTAATCTAGTAAAACTATAGGAATTCAAGTATTATATTAATATAATTTAGATTAAAATTATATAATATAAAATATAGATTAGCTTTTTTTTAGTTTTTTAATATATTCTTAATAATAATTCCAAGAATATAATTTTTATATAAATGAATTCTAGTTTTCTTTAATTAAATTAAAGAAATTACTTTTAATATTAATAGAATTCCTATATTTAAAGCTAGTTTTCTCTTTATATAATTAGTTTCTATATCCGAATTAACTAATATTCTAATTCTATATTTATTCTTTCTTATTTTAATAATAATCTTAATTATTATTCTCGTTTTAAGAGTTTTATTTTCTATAATATAAATAAGTATAACTATTATAGAATATATTTATTTCCCGGCTTTTTTGGTTTTAAGTATTTATATATCTTATAGCCAGACTTATTATAATTATAATAAGTTAGTTTCTTTTAATTTAAGTAAATAGTAATATAATAACTTTTTTTCTAATAAATAAAATAAATTATATCTGGTTTTATAAATTTTAATATAAGTATTATATTAGATCTTATTACTATACTTTTATTATTCTAGTTTTATAATTCTTATAATAGAAATATATTTCTTTTCTTTTTTCTATTTCTTTTCTTTTTTCTATTTCTTTTCTTTTTTCTATTTCTTTTCTTTTTTCTATTTCTTTTCTTTTATTCTTTTATTAGCTTATTATTATATTTCTATTAAATAAATAAGTTTAAATTATTCTTAATTTTTATAGCTATAAAAATAAGCTTTTTTCTTTTTTATAAAATATTTCTTTAATAATTAATCTTATTTCTAATCTTTTATCTTAAATTACTAAATAAATTATTTTATTTTTATAATAAACCTATATATTCTAAATTATTTAATAGGCTATCTAAATAAAATATAAAGCTTTAAATATTTTATTCTAGCTACTATTTAATATTTTTAAACTTAATAAAGATATTATTATTATAGTTTTCTAGATTTAAGATAAAATTCTTTATAAACTTAATAAAAGTTTCCAAATTCGTAATATTAATACTTATTATTTACTTCTTATATTTTTAAATATTTTTAGCTATATTCTCAAAATAAGAAATATAATATATAACCTTTATTATATTTATAGTTTAGATAATTCTATTATTTTTATATTATTTTAGCTTTATTTAATAAAAGAAGTTCTAAGTTTCTTTAATATTTTTTTCTTTATAAATTAGTAATTCTTAGATTTTTAGAGCTTTTTAAACTAAAAGTATTATTAAAAGTATAATAGGCTTTATACCGGATATCTAAATATCTTTAAAATAATGAATTTAAGCTTTTAGCTTTTTTAGATTCTTTCTTTATTATATTTCTATTTCTAATTTAATAATATAATAATAAGCTATTACTAATTTCTTTATTATTATTATTTTATTAGCTAGTTCTAGAAATATCTGAATTCTATTTTCTTTTCCTAATTAGGTAATATAAAAAGTACCTAATTAGATACTTCTCTAGATATCTAGCTAAATTACTTTAATAGTAATAGAAGTATTTTTTTAAATTAATATTTTAGTTATTAATAGCTTAATTACCTTATAATAAATTATTTCCTAAAAATTAAATTAATTAAAATATAAAACATATAATAATAGAATAATATATAAGTAATTAAGGTAAATAAGCTATAAAATAATATTTATAAATATAACTAATTCCAAGAATTAATTCTAGTAAAAAACTAATTAATATCCCTTTTTAAAGCTAGAAATATTTCCTTATATATTTTCTAGTATTTAATTAAATATATAAAGCCATTTATTTAATTAGGAAATATAATCTTATATAATTTATATAATTCTAATTATAAGCTTTATTTAAAATAAGAAACTAGATCTATAATATCTAATATTTATTTATATACTATTATATATATCTATTATAAGAAACTAAATTAGGATTTATAAACTAATTAGAAAATTAGATAAGCTTTATATTTAATAATATATATTATACTTATATTATTTTTATAAGAAAGAATTACTAGAAATAATTTAAGAGTTAATTAAATAGAAATAGTAAACTATATTTTTAATCCTATTATCTAATATAATAATAAGGTAATTATAAAAAGTCTTTAGGGAAAACTAATAGCCAGAAAAGTTTTAGAAAGCATTTATAAAGCTATTTATAGTTTTTCTAAGCCTTTTAGAAATAAGAGTCTAAAAAGGAAATTAATATATATAATAATATATAAATAGATATTAGATATTATAAATCTAGTTTCTTATTTTAGGTAAAATTTATAATTAAAATTATATAAATTATATAAGATTATATTTCTTAATTAAATAAAGAACTTTATATATTTAACTAAATATTAAAAAATATATAAAGAAATACTTCTAGCTTTAAAAAGGGATATTAATTAGTTTTTTATTAGAATTAATTCTTAGAATTAGTTATATTTACAAATATTATTCTGTAGCTTATTTACCTTAATTACTTATATATTATTCTATTATTATATATCTTATAAAAATATTATTTATTATATTAAATAAAATAATCTATTTGGATTTTATATATAATATATTAATATATAAAAGTAATAAATATTATAAAGTAATTACTTTAAATATATTTCATAACTATTTATATATAAAATCTATAATATTCTTATTAAGTTATAATAATAAATAAAGAGTTATATTAAGTATTTTAAGGTTTATATTAATTATAATTATAAGACTATAATACTATTACTAAATAAGAGTATTATTTAGCCCATTATATATAGGCTAGTTAATAGATTTTAATATAAGTACTATTTATTTAAATTTATAAATTAACTCGTTATCTAATAATATTATAATTAAGAATATAATCTCAAACGAAAAAAGAACCAAGAATTATTAATAAGAAAAGCAGACAAAAAATTAAAAAAAGCACACTTAAGCTACTTTCTTGGTATACTATTAAAGTCTCAAGAAACAGTTCCGTAGATGCTTAGTATGTAATTCTAGAGATGTTATTTGTATTACAGCCCCATTTAACAGACTTTATACTTGAGCCAATCTACTTCTTTAATACGGGCTAGATACTTCCGCTTGAAGTGCTTTATTAAGTCTCCCGGACTAGTAAACTTGTAAGTACACTTCTCGAATAGCAAGCTCTACTCACCTAAATAAAGGAAACAAGTAATAGTTCTCTTCTTAATAAATATTAATAATATAGCGTTACTTAACGTTTACTTCTTGGCATAGACGGTTATTAACTAGGGGCTAGTCTCCTTTAATAGCATTAAACTCGCCCGTTACATAAAGGACCTCTTATATAATTAAGTAATAACTTAGCATTGATTTCCAACCCAGTTCACTGATCCGCACTTCAAGGTTGGATGCCATCTCGAAGAAGCAGAAAACACATTGTCCTCGTGTAGATCCGTGCAATACTAAGAAAATCAATCAATTATTTCAAGTGGCAGCAATAACGTTTCCTGTCTGATGCTATCGTATTGTTTGCGTGATGCTTCATGTTCTTGTGCCATCGAGCACAATGATTGTGCATGGCAAAGTCACGCCCATTATTCAATCTTCCCAGAAGATCAGTGAGGCATCTAGAGGCGGGAGCGAAATTGAGCATGTCGTACAGGATGGATAGAGGTTTTTCTCAGAATAATAAGCTCAGAAGCACTGAACGAATGCGAAGATGATAAGGTTGTGAAGAGGGAAGGATTCGGGTTTCGGGGTTTAGCCTAAAAATAGAACCGAGGCTGGCCAATTCGTCGCCAATTTTCGGGTTCTGCGTTTGCACCATTTAAAAATAATTAAGACCCCACTGCAGCAAGCGCATACACCTACTTGGCTACTCTACACCTCAAAACATCTATTGAATATTCGAACTTCTCATTTCAACACCCCACGCGTCCTGATAGGAACCACGATGTCAGGCTCAGGACCACCTCCCTTCGAGCCTTCAGTCGAACTTCTCGCCCCATTGTCAGAATCGATCCAAGCTTCCATCGCCCAATACTCTTCTGCCTCAAATCCCGCTGAAAAGGCATTAGCCCTCAAAGCCATACAAGCCACCTCCTCCAAGCTCTCCCTCGCAACCACATCAATCCCACGACGCTTCAGCGAGATAAATCTTCGACCATACCTCAACGTAACCCTGCGACTAGCCTTCGAGATCAGGCTCTTCGAAACCATACCATCCAATTCCTCCATCACGATCGAAGAAGCAGCATCAAAGGTCAACGCCAGCGAGGAGTTTATCTTTCGCCTCATCCGCGTCCTCGGTGCTTCCGAAATTCTCGAAGTGTTTTATCCTGAAGAAACAAGTATTGGTCTCGTATCTTTCTCCCACACGCCAATATCTAGCTTTCTGCTCTCTCCGCTCGCAAAAGCTAGCTTCAGGCACCATTTCGAGACCATGCTCCCTGCTCAACTTGGCTCTGTACCTGGATACTATCACAAGTATGGATTCAAGAGCCCGGAAGATCATAAGAATGTGCCATTTACATTTGCCCATGGTACTGTGGATGAGGGTTACTTCGACATACTCGTGAAAGATGCGGAAAAGTTGACCATTTTCAATAACGCGATGGAGATCATGGCTGTGCTGGGATTGAAGTCGCTGGGAACTATGTATGCCTTTGATCAATTGGTGCCTAATAAGGACGGTATTGCGTTAGTCGACATTGGTGGTGGGAAGGGACATATGTTGAAAGCCATTCAGGCGGCATATCCAGAAATGAGGGGAAAATTGGTGCTGGAGGATTTGAAGGTCATACGAAGATCACGGCATAAAGTGACGGGACTACAGGGCATTTAGACTCGCTTGGGGCGCTCAGTGGACTATAGCGTGCAAATTGAGGGGTTAAGCCCGCTATAAGGCCTTATAACTCCAGGCCTCGTGCCCTGAAGTAGAGTGTAAGACATTTGCAGGGCTGTCGGAAGATGCTCAGGGGTTATAGCGCTGCTGGCGGAGCAACTATAGCGCTCGGACGCTGTGAGGGGGCAATTATAGGGTACCTTAGCGAACCTTCCCCTGTAAGTACAGGGATACGCCTTAAAAAGGTGTGGTACCCCTTGCTTGCGGTTTATAGCGTTCGTTCAGGGCAGTGGCCTGGAATATAGGGGGCTTTAGTGGTTGAATCCAGCAGAAAGTGGCCTGAAAGTGGACTTGTAGCTCAAATGCCCTGTAGTCCCGTCACTTTATGCCGTGATCTTCGTACTTGATGCGGGTGTGGTTGTCGATGACGAGGTTGTAAAAATACCTTATGATTTCTTCAAAGACGTGCAACCTATCAAAGGTAAGTCCCTTCCCCCTTGTTTTCTGAGTAAATAATATCAAGAGCAATGTATTGACGAATAGAATAGGATCGAATTACTTCCTGAAATCCATCTTCCACGACTGGCCAGACAAAGCCTGCTTGCAAATCTTATTGAATATAGCACAAGTGATGAGGGGTCATCCCCATTCCAAGCTACTGATCTGCGAAATGGTACTTTCGGAGCAACATCCAGAGCCGATACCAGTCATGAGGGACATTAACATGCTGCTTATGGGTGGCCAGGAAAGGAATCTGTTTCAGTGGAATGCATTACTAACAAAGGCGGGATTCAAGGTTTTGAAAGTACATGGTGTTGGGGTTGGGGGTGAGCATAGCAGCATTATTGAGTTGGTTCTGAATGAATAGTGAGAGTTATAGGTAATTAGTGTTGTTCCACCCAGCTGTTTCCACGGAGTTTAGCAAAAGGGGGGGGTGGGGGGTTATATGAAAGAACAGTTGAACTGCGACTGATAATGAGGCTATGGATACAAAATTTCGGCCAAGAAACGATCACACATCATGAATGGATATTTCCGAAACAATTAAAATTTTGATCTCTCCTTGATGGGGCTTCTCTGGAGGATATTGTTGGAGATGAAGTGGCCAATGGAAGAAATTGCTGACAAACCGGGGAAGAGGTACAGATTACTGCGGTACCACAGACTGTCAGTCTCTGAGCTACGAGAGCTATCCGAATATCCTTAATAATGCACAATGTTTTACATAAAGCCCTCCCCTGGTATTTCAAAGCCTCCAGGCAACCACCCACGAAGTTGCGCGCACTTGCCACGTTCTTATGCCTTGAATACTTGGTATTTGAGATAAATAACCCCTGAGCGGTCGGGTGGTTCCAGCAAGTTCTTCTCCACAATAAAACAGGAATTATGTTACATAATTGGTCAGTCACACTGGCTGAGGCTTGTGCTGATAGTAACCGCTCAAGGGTTTATTTATCCCAAATACTAAGCGAACTAATTTAATATGCCCCTGTTAGGAAGAGGTCGAGATGCAAATAGTCTGCGACTAGTTCCTGGACCAGGCCGACTTGGCTTGGCTTGGCAATTGCCTTTCAGGACGCAGAGGCAAAATGCGGATTTCAGCAGCCTTGGCAGGTGATGGGGCGCGGATTTGCACCCGAAATGGAGCAATCTACGATAAACAGATGTAGTCTAGCATCAGATCGATCAAGGACAAGAGAACGAAGCGCTTGAAAGCCTAAGCGTTGTCCAATTGACGCCACGCTGCCGTTGATGACGGCACATGGGCTGAACTGATGGCATCCCCGCAACGCCTCGACTGCTATGTTGCAGCAGGAGGCTTGACTTTCCACTTTTTGACCATTTTATCAAGTCTTATATGGCTTAAAAAGTAAAATGCTTGGGTATGAGCTTCAGTATAGCTCAATTAAGTTATATATGATACCATATTTGTAGAAAAATGTACGGGCTTACTTCGTTACAGGTGTGTGTGGACCTACGCTAAATTGACGTTTGTCTACTGTGGATACAGGCCTTTTCGTCGGGGACATTTCCTCCGATCAAAATCAACATCATAATCTGTCAAGCCTGCATGAGTAAGAACAGCAAAGCGAAACCCGATATTCAGGTAACTGCTTTGATGAGGGTTGGATTCAGAGCTGACGGACTCTTACTTTGAAAATAGAAACGAAGCACAAAGATCTGGTCTGGTCGATGGGAATGTACATTATTTCAGGCATGCAAATCACCTAAATTACTAAAGTTCTTACATTACGGGAAGAAAATCAATGTTTGCCCCGGAAGAACCATGCGCTTCCCCTCTCCCGGCTGGAGCTGGGGTAGAAAAGATCAGGTGATTCGCAATAGATTCGGGCATATAAGCGAAATGGCTGAAGCGAAAGATAGGGGTTCGCTAAACTGTTTTTGGGGCACGCCAGTCCACTATCGATCTCGCAAGGTTCGCAACAAATGTAAACTCTAGATACATGAAACGTAGCTAGTCCAGTAGAATTAAGTCCTCTATGCTTTGCATATATCTAAACTCCGAAAAGCTATTAAAAGCATGTTTTTCTGTGGAACTGGTCGGGTTTCAGGCATCGTGCAACTCGTTGGGCAGATGGCTTGTTAAATTTAAGCGATAGGTGGTCAAATGCCGGCCATCGAATGCAACCCCTTTGGCCTCTTCTCAAGGGGCTGTGTTGGCGGCAGTCCATATGCAGCCTCGAATTGATACGAGAACTTGGAGTCTAGTCATTTATAATCTCAATACTGCGGTTTGCCCCCCCGGGTTTAGCGGCCCGTTGCTTCGGGAAAGGTGCGTGCACGGGCCCACTGCCGCTTTCAACGTCTATAAAAGTTCGCTCTCCCCCCGCTACTCGACCTTCTTCTTCTTCAATCCTTTCCCAACACTCCCTCGCTCGGCCATTTAACCTCGTCATGCGCCATTGACCCCTCTCTACCGAGACATACTCAAAACACCCCGTCGCAATTAAAAACCCGGTTTAAAGCTAGAACTATCAATCTCTACCATTTGTTACTCCAGATTCGATACTCATGATTGTCACCACGGCGATTATTCCCTTAGATGGCATCGCATTGCCCGAGATACGAGCATAAACTCAACTCGCTACCCTCTCCTCGCCATCACACTATCACAATCCTCACGGTAATGCTCCCTCGTTAATTACGAAAGTAGAGGCTTGCCCTTGGCATTCCCTTTATGTGATATGACTTGGCTAATGGTAAAAATGCCTCACATGACGTGGCTAGTTATTGCTTGGTTATACCGTGGCATTACGTATTAGGAGAAGGATCTCAGTAATCTCCTTAATGCTATTAAGATAACGATATGCGTTATTTGCCTTGATTTAAGTTAATTTGTAATAAGATAAAACCGTTTTTATTAACCGTAATTATAGCAAATAATAATTTATATAATAATAGTATTATTAAAGCTTTTATTAAGTATTTCATGAATTGAATATGAAACGTTAATATTAAAAGAATAGATTATAAGTAAATAAATTAACGTGAAAGATTATAAGAAAGTAAATTATATAACCTTAAAAGGAACTTAATTATTAAAAGTGTTACGGTTGTTACGATATACGGTACTAGTAGGGGTTAGACTAGAGCTAGAGAGGCATCTGGCATCTGAGAGGGGCATCTGGCATCTGAGCGAGGCATCTGTAGTCACCTGATCGTTGCACGTGATCCCGAGCTTAAGCTAGCACGTGGGCCGTGCGTAGCTCGCGATTATTTAGATCCGAGGCTCCTTCGAGATCCTCTTCTCTCTTTAGCTTTGAATCGTCGAAATAGAGACAGTCTAACCACGCCTTCCAGGCCCTAGATCTTGTGCTCGTGGCAAAAAGGGAGAGATAAGAAAGCTAAAAAAATAAAAAAAGAGGCTTAATAGGCTAGCAGAGATTAGTTTGTAAGCTCTGTAATTATTATAATAACTGAGTATTTACGGTATGCGAAACGGATCCAAATTATATAGATACTAGCGTTTAATATCGGGCGTTAAACGCTAGAGTTCAATATTACTAATATTCAGCTTTCAAGTTCGCGAGCCCGTGCGAAACGGGCCCTCAACCTCCCGCGAGTCGCGTCACCAGGGTGTTACCACCGCGACGGTCCAGACTCCAGAGCCCTGGGGCTCAAGCAGTCTGGCCCAGTTCTATAATTATCTACCCCAGCTTTGCAGATTGTCAGTCCGCAACCTTGATCAATGTGGCGTTTCTTTGTCCTTTTTCGTTTCCGTCCTGCAGCCACCCTGCTTGCTTCCGCCAACCAGCTCGCGAAATCACCTTCAGCTGGACCCAGGAGAAAAAGAAAAGCCTGTCATGGGCCAACCCCCAAACCCAATTGTCGAAATGGCTTCATTGAGCCGCTTTCATTCCCACGCTTCTCTCTGGTCTAGATTCGAAGGATGCCTCCAAAACAAGTTCTTGCCAGCCACGATAAGCCCCCTTTTCGCAAGGCTGGAGAGAAGAGAAACAGCTGCTTGTGAGCTATCGAACGGCTTCAGAGCATGGCTTACTGACCTCCCATGTTCTGCCGAGATAAAGATGGACATTCCCCGCTGAGATTTCTGTATCTCTGTGCCTCGTTACAAACTCACCAGCAAAATGGAGTCAAAGGAGATGGACATGGTAAGTCCCAAATTCTCGGAGAACTATTCACTCTAGCGTGTCGGTTCCTGGGCCTGTAGCAATGTTCAACAGATCCTGGAACATTCTACTCCTGAAAATTATTGAAAGTATGCTGACTCTGAAATCTTGGGAATAGGTATAAGGAGAGCCATAAGTTAACAGATTTGGACAAGTTTGAGCAGAGTAGCAGAGGTCCTTTCGGTTCTGTCAAACTACTCTTCTCACGACCCTTCAAGTAAGACCTAACTCAACCTTTTTTGCGTTTCAAGCTCAGTTCAACTCGGGAACAATGGCTGAACTAGGGTACAGGTTTCTGGGTGCTTTTGGAGCGATCCTCACAATCCTCACGTTAGCTTTCCATACTCTCATTCAAAATGCGATATCTACGAGAAGTAGAAAGCTCGAAATTGACGGCTTTTACGGTGACCCCATTTGCGGAGCAAGCTATCCTCAAGGAAACAACTATACTAGCATGTATAATAAATACTCCACATCCGAGACTTTGGAGGATCAAGGACCGGCTCTCGACATGGTTGCCGATATCACTTACGGAATATACTACACCATGATGTACAACGACACTCAGACTCAACTCAGCATCGCCAATTGCCTATACGGTAATTGTACAGTACATGGAGCCATATTCAAACTCTGGGCGTGTGCTTTAAATGTGCCGACATTACCTCTAAGATATATAGCGACAACTACAACGACATCTACACTCTCTACGGAAATACTGTGGTGATGAACCAGAAAGCCGGATTGGTGACATCCAGTGTGGGCTCCGATAAATTATCGATCGGGATTATCGATTAGTAATCGTTATCGGCTAATCGATCGATAAACGATCGATATCGATAATTATCGTTGATAAAAGTGGGCCCCAGCTATTAAGCGAGCCCTATTACATGAACATCTCGCTTTCTAGTTCAATTATAAACCAATTAGTATAAAGATTAGTATAAAAGTAGACTATTATTACTATACTATTATATTTCTATTTAATAGTCTATTATATAATATAGATAATATAATTATTGCTAATACTATCAATGCAATGGGGCTCGCTTAATGGCTGGGCCCGCTTTTATCGATAATTCCATTGATAAAAGTGGGCCCGCCAGCCATTGAGCGAGCCCATCAATAATTCCATCGATAAAAGTGGGCCCGCCAGCCATTGAGTGAGCCCATCGATAATTCCATCGATAAAAGTGGGTCCCAGGGCCTTGGCAATACTACAGGGCCACTACAGGGCCACTACAGGGCCACTACAGGGCCAATACGCTATATTTACAGGCCTTAGACCGCCTTTACAGTACTAAATCTATTAATAATAGTGGGTCCAGGGCCTTGGTAGTACTACAGGGCTACTACAGGGCTAATGCGCTATATTTATAGGCCTTATACCGCCTTTACTAAATCGGAATTCTGCTATAGTAAAGAAAAGGTGGTATGAGGCCTATAAATATAGCACATTGGCCCTGTAATGGCCCTGTAGTGGCCCTGTAGTATTACCAAGGCCTTAGTTCGATAATTATCGTAATCGATGGTCGATTATCGATTATCGAAAAATTAGCGCGATTATCTAATCGGAGCTTATCGAGCTTATCGGAGCCCACACTGGTGACATCTTGGGCAGACACGCTCTATCCCGATCCCTCTGTCCTCCCAGGCGTCGGGCCCCTCATTGCCCACGTCACGACAATGACGCGTGCGGACACTAGCGTCTATCCAACAGGCATAGATTGTGCTTGTACTGGTGTGTGGTGGATGTCACGGGATAGACATCCCGGTGGGCCCCAACAATGGCGAAGGCCAGAGTAGGGCAGAAAGATGATGTATTCTCTATGAGTGATAGCTAGCTAAAGTACCTTCCGGCCCTGGTAGCTTACGTAACAGTGGATCTGAGCAATGTTACAATGACAAATTGGGACATCACAGATGCGGTATATACAAACTGGACTGATTCATCAAACTTTGCGCATACCACCTACGGGCAGGGGACCGACATTCAACTCACCCCGCCAACGTGTTATGACCAGGATGCTCAACCAATTTCCGACACGACGGAGTGCACAAAGACGATTTCCAATCGTTCACAAATCGCATTGCAGAACTTCTTCACTGGCGATAAAACAGGGTTCACGGGCATGGCGACCCAGAACTTAACCACTGGACGCTGGAACATCGGCAGCGAAGTCATGCAGCTCATTTACACAACCGCTGGTCGCTCGGATGATCTCGTCATAAGCATGGGGATCATCATGAATAACATCGGTCTACTCATGATCTCTAATATTCGTCAAACACAGCCACAAGCTGGTTTCTCAAAGAGCTTGGGAGAGGTATGGATCTGGACTACTCTCTACCATATCCGCTGGGGCTACATGGTCCTTCCAACCCTGCTTGTGGTCGCCAGCGTACTCTTGTTGATAGCCACAATCATCAAGAGCTGGGGACATGAGAAGTGGAAGTCTTCTGTGCTGCCGCTGTTATTTCATCCCTTAGCAGATGAAGTACGACCTGGGGTGGCGCCTCATAAGATGTCCGAGTTGAAGGCAGTTGCGGAAAACAGGCAAGTGCGACTTCACAGGGGCCACTTGGGTTCTCAATTTGTTTAGGTTTCAATTATTTCTTTCGGACCGTTATATCTTTAGGAATACTCCTTACAATGGATTTGCTACACGGGGAAATACTGTAATATGGACGTACACGAGGTCGATGATGAAATTTTGCACGTATCTCAATGACAGTTTTGAAAATAAGGGATGATTAATTCATTCAACAAATCAGGTCATCCTAACAATGCTTAGAAGTATTTCCTTTCCATCGCAAAATGCGGCTCTCTATTGCGTGACGGGGATCTTCCCGTCACGTGATGAGCGTCAGATTCGGCAATTTGTCGCTTAAAGGGGGGGGCCGGGAAAGGGATACCTGTGTGACTCCTCCTGACTCAAAGGCGAAACATTTCACATTTCACATCTGCATATGCAATCATGCTTCTTAATTGACATCATACAGCAGGCAGCAGTACCCAGTTTCATCCTCATCGAAGTTTCCATTGGCCGTCATGTGACGGGTGCCTGTTCATTGGGGGCCGCAAGGCCCCTGCCCTTCTTGGTAAGGCAAACACCACGTGAGTCGCCTCTAGGCTGCACTTCCTCCATAAAAATCCCGAACCCTTCAAAGTGGAGCTTCGTCAACACCGAGTTGAGATGGCCGCAGTGGAGGGAGGCCTGAAATGTAACCTCGGCCTTGAGTCATCGATATATATGCCTGAACCACTTCCCAGCCCTGCGTTTTAATTTCCTTTGTTTACTTTTAGTTTCAGGTTGTGTACTTTATAAGAAGACGATTCCTTCGAAGGATTTGGCTTTGCATTGATTGTATTTGTCCTATTTCGGTCTCTTCAGACGTTTCAGCTGTCACTCGTTGCCACTCGTCAATCAATCATCTTCAAGCTTCCAATCACCAATCACCACTCAACACTTCATTCAATTCTTGCCAAAGAATTCATCTTCATTCAGCACAATTGTTGAACTCCTTCATCCAATCTTGAGAGCGTCTCCTCGTATCTGGTCACTCGGCAACAATCCTTCGAATTGGCTCAACAATCGTCATCCCACCCGCATTGCGGGCATCTCTACAACTCCGCAAATCTGTCCCACCACGGTCTCCTCAGCAGCAGCAAAGCTGCAATGAGCGACCAAAAACCACCTCCTCCACCTCGGCCACCGCCACGTGATACCTGTAAGTCTCCTTCTTCCAACCAAGTTCCAAACAGTCGCTGACTGAATAAGCCTATGGTGGGAAGCAACGCTGAGCCCTCCACCTCCACCGTCTTCGCCGAAATTAGAGGAGCAGGGTGCTTTGTTATCTGTTTTTGTGTTTTTTCTACTTTGCATTTTCTGTTATGATATATTTATGAGTTGTGAGAATTTTGGTTGCTTTTTTAGGGAATGGACTCCGGTATAGGTGCATTGGGATTGGGGTTGGGCATTGAGCGGGGTCTTCACGGATGGATTGGATTGAGCTGGAATATGCTCTTGGTATTACGACTTTATGACCGTACGTGGGGTTCGGGCTTCGTTGAACTTGATATGCTTGAGCTTTGCGAGATTGGCCTCAAGGTTGACACTCGAGCTCACTCAAAAATGGAATCCCCTCTCCCGAACGTCAGTGTTTGTGCAACGCTTTATGCATGATACTCTCAAGCCTACAGTACCCAGTTTTGAATCTCAAACATATTGAGCATTAGAATTTATCAATTGAGAGCGTGTCTTAACTCTCGTATATCCTTGATTGAGGTCCCATTATATTTCCCTCATCCAATTTCTCTCGAAAATACCACTGGCCCCTGACAAGCACTAATAAGCCCCAAGTAATGATCATGCGCCGTGCCATCAATAGGAACCAACCCTGTCCCTGCATTACACTCTTCATTCCCCACCCCCTCACAAACTACCACATCGCTCGCTTCATACACGTCCGTCGCGTCAGTCCCATTCGTAAGCCAGTACTCCGGACTCGTATGCTCATACCCTATCCAAGTCGGTGGTAGCTGGGACACGGGATCGTTCTCATGCGTCATCCTGTAATTCCCTCCTTTCTCCGGAGCCTGCGACATCACGAATGTTGCAAACTCCGTGTTTCCCACGCGTGGAGAGCCATAGGTGTAGATATCAGCGTTGTAGTTTATACTCCTCAGCTCAGCACCAGCGAGCGTCGCGATCCCGGCGCCGATGCTGTGGCCTGTGATGATGAGGGAGTAATCTGGGTACATCTCGAGAGCTGAAATGGCGGTATTGAGGACGGCGTCCCGACGTTCAGACCATCCCGTGGAGAAGCCGGAGTGGATCCAGCAGGATGTGCAGCCTGTGAGGGTGTATGGTACTCGAGCGAATGTGAAGTCTGTGAACCAGTTGCGGATTGTGCTCCCAGAACCCGCGAATGCAACGATGATAAGAGATCTTGTTGGATCGAGCGCCACGAAGCCTTTAATGTTCGCTGTGGTTATGTCGTTGTTGCTGGGATTAGAAAGTGGAGAGAGGAGGGGGGAGAGACTTACGAGCCTCCGAATTCCACGAGGGATGTCACGTTGTCCGCTTCTACGAGAGCGCAGGCATTAACTGGGCAGGCGATCAGAGACTAGGAAGCCGAGTTCTCATTTCTCTGACAATATGAAGCTGCTTTAAAATTTGCGAAAAGCTTGAAATTGTCGAGGAGAGATTCTGGTATGCCGATTGTTGTGCTATCTGTACGAGCCTGTCAGGGACTGCCAAGTCTTCGGGCCATAAATGGGGGTTCACCTCCTTGTTCAAGGGGCTTTCCTGCTTCTTGTACAGGAATAGCATTTGCCAGAGATAGGAGAAGTCCAAGTGCAAAAGATACTGCGAACTTCATGATTCTAATTCGAATTCCGAATTTCTCTGTTAAACTCCAGCGAGTTAAAACCGCTGACGGTGACAAGCTGAAGTCCCAGACCCCAAATTCACGAGCAAAGCAACAACAAAATCACGCAACTCCTTAAATGTCGACACACACAAAAGAAGCATAAACAACGAAGAAGCAGTCTTGCACCTTCTCGTCCACGAAAATTATCAAAATCTACGTGGCCTGTAAATGCCATCATCACGAAATACCGGTATCCAGTATCGGTACTACTCCCGAAGTGGGACAGCAAGGTTACCAAGGAAATCCGGAAGTTTATCCCGAAGCAGAACAAGGCTGGTTATCTAATCCTCGACTGGGCCTACTTTGCCTATATGAGAGCCTCTTTAAGAGCTCGGTTAACAAGCGAGAGGGCAAGGGGGAAATGTGCCTCGGCACTTGTCGTTACGTAGGTGGCGGGTGGAGTGGCTTTCTGGGGTGCTTGCTTGGCTTGAGAGTTCTTGGTCAAGCAAGATGGTTGATATGGATTAGAGTTCTATCTTTCCACACAGTGAAAATTCAGCCGATCAACTAAAATTGAAAAGTTGCAGAGACTTTCACATGATTTCAGCACATGCAATGAAAATTGGTTGCAGTGAGGATGGAGAATAATTGAGGACCCATGTGATAACAAAGGGGAAGTTCCTTTTATTGAATGTCGAGCGAGGGACACTACCTCGAAGTAGGGGAATTGCCCTTCTTACTGCGAGTCGTATTTCGAGTGAAGTGAATGGAGGCTATGTCAAGGTAGTGCATTGCGATATCCAAGTGAACGTAGCCCTCTACTCCTCTCCTGAGCCCTCTCTAATCCGCAAGCAATTCCAGAATACTGTCAAACACGCTCTCCTCCTTCGCATTCCATCCTAAGCCCCTAATCCGCAAGCAATTCCGGAATACTGTCAAACACGCTCTCCTCCTTCGCACTCCATCCTAAGGCCTTAATTCTCTCCCCATTAACTCTCATATTAATCCCCCAAAGCAGCTCCGCATAAGGATGTAGCTCCTTCGCCTCCTCAATCTTAATCTCATCCACACCCTCCCTCTCAATCCACCCCTTCTTTTTCATCCCCTTTACAATCGCCCCCGCCATCTCGCGAAACACGTACTCCCCACCCTCAACATAATACCACCCCTCCTCTCCCCAGTCCGCCCTCCCCCCTCCTTCCTTCAATGCCTCTTCAACAAGCAAGATGAATGCAGCAGCGAGATCGCGCACGTGGATGACGGAAGCTACGTTCGTGCCCTCTCCCAGCGTGAAGCCTCGTCCACGCTTCTTGACGGCGTCAACGTACCAAGGCAACACCATGCTCGTCTTCTTGACTTCCCCTTGTCCAGTGCCGTACACGCCGGGAGGGACCACAACCGCTGTTCTGATGCCCTGCTTCTTGCCTTCAGATAGAACAAGCTGGTCCGTAACAGCGTGCAAGTGCGAGTGATCAAAAGTCGTGATTTCCTTCAGATCCGCAATGTCAGACCATTTCTTGGTTGTGAGTTGCCCGAGTCCGTTGCTTGCGGTAGAGATTGAAGCTGCACCCGAGAGCTGGATGAATGTCCCCGTCTTTTGGAGAGAAGGGAGAAGGTAGAGGATGGAGGGATTGTGGTCCGCGTCTGCTAGTTCTGATAGCCTTGTGTTAGCCTTCATTTCGGGAGATGTTAGAAGGCAGACGTACGGAGAACGACGTCCACTTGGGCAGCTTCCGCTTTCAAGACTTCAGCTGAGTCTAAGTCTCCAATGACTGTTTTGACGAAAGGATACTTCGAAGCGATCTGTTGCTGTTGCTCCTTGGTGCGGACGAGGCCGTGGACCTGGTATTCGGGGTGCTTCTTTGTTATGTCATGGAGGACTTGGCCACCGATGTAGCCTGAGATGCCTGTAATGAAGATTATGGGAGCCATTGTGAAAGTCAGGGGTTCTGAGAATGAGTTTTGTGAAGTCTTGTGAAGTCTTGATGGAGAAAGTGGCGGTATTGGGATGATGAGAAGTTTGGATTTCAGATGGAAAGGAAAGGAATACTTATACTCCAGTCCACTTGAGCATAGGATTTTGTGCTCTACTCGATATTGGATTTATAATGAATAATGAATTCCGCCTTCGACGAATGGAAAGTGTTTGACCTGAGCTTGGGCGTTTGCTGTTCATTCTGATTGGCCGAGCGGACCCTCCTGCGGGCAGCATGGCGGGCCCGCCAAGTTGCGGAGGCTGCTGACCGATCAGATTCCCACCTCGTCCGTCCGTCAACCTCCACTAGCCAACATAAGGAGAAATTTGCAAAGCCTCCACCAGGCTCATCGAGGTTATCAAAGCAACTAGTATGAATCCACCGAGTTATCAACCCACTTTGGCGTGTGTTACCTGCAAGTCCCGCAAGAGAAAATGTGACAAAGCTCTCCCAAAGTGCTCTCTTTGCACCAGGTGAGATGACTGACTCCCATGAACCTGGACCATGCTGAACACTCCCGCTTTTTAGCAAAGGGCTACCCTGCACGTACCCGTCCTTTGTGCGTCGGGCCCATCATGAGCCACAATATCCCTCTCCGCAATCGACCACTTCCTCATCCGCCGTGAGCGTCCACAATCCCGTCACTGGTCCCACACCGCCGCCAAACAACTTCCCAGCGGTCTTCTATCTAGATTGGAACATTTTCCAACGATGCCAAGTAGAGATACCAAAGCCCAATTTGCCCCTTCCAACAAATATCTCAAATCTCATCGGCAATGCAGAGAATTGGGAGAACATCGCCACCGAGCACTTCTCCACAACCCACACGTGGATGCCAATCGTCTCAAAGAAGAGCTTTTATGAATATATTCGCAACCCCTCAAGTCAGATTCGCTCAGACTACGCGCTTCTGATCCTTGTTATGGATCTGGTTTGCTGGATTCCCGAGACCAATGATCCGAGAACGTCGACTTACTTGGCCGCCAAATCTTTTTACCTGGACCTGGAGATTCAAGGATTGGTTTCGCTCCAGATTTTGCAGGCCGCGATACTGATTGCGTTTTTCGAATTCGGACATGCGATTTATCCATCCGCTGCCGTCTCGATCGAGGCATGTGTGAGGTATGGATGCGCTTTGGGAATTAATTGGGATGCCAAGTTCCCAGTGAAGAGGCCGTTCTCTTGGGTAGATGGCGATGAGCAGAATCGTGTTTGGTGGGCGGTCGTCATTCTAGATAGGTATGCTTCCCAGTGGTTATCCGAACTCGTAATCGAGCAACTTGAGTGCGCTTATTGTGGGCCGAGGAGAAAATTTTGTATTGACAAACACTCAGAGTCTCCAGAATAGGCTTTCCACCTCGCCCATTGTGGACTGGTGACCCAACTCCAGAGTCTATCTTACCGTCCGATGATGGAGCTTGGGATCAAGGAGTAAGTGCCATGCCCTGACTTGAAGCATCGCCACATCCTAAACCTTTCAGGTGATGCCACCGAAATGTTTCAAGGTGCTTCAGCCTGATAATCCAAGAAAACTTGGGCGGTTTGCCCTCAAAGCGGAAGCAACCCGATTGCTCGGCCAAGTCATTAAGCATGTAGAAGCAACTGATTTCGAGGACACGTTTCACAAGGAGGAAGCGCTTCTCTTGGACGGCGCTCTTCGAGCCTTAGTCAACGTTACGGAGTTCGAGGGACAGAGCCACAGCCTTGATGTCATGAATCAAACTGCAATGTGCTCCATGTAAGTGCGCAGTTGGGTGGCCATGCTTGAATTGATAGGTGCCTCTCGAGCTGATAGTGTCCAGTGCTTTAATCCTTCTGCACGAAGCTCATGCTTCGGGAAGTTCAGAAACTTCGGAATATTTCGAACGTATTCATCACACAAAAAATGCCACAAATAACGTGGTAAAGTCTCGTGAGGAAATAGTGGGCTTCGAGACCCCAATCAAATTATGTGTAAGAGCTGCATCACCATTCATGACAAGCCTTCTGTATCAAATGGCGACTGCCAATTTGCGAAGGTGTCGAGACCTGAACATGGACGAATCTTACGAGGATTTTGTAGTATTGAAAGAAGCTTTGAAAGTTTTTGATGGGAGGTGGAGAGCTTCAGGTAAGTGGCACGGACGAGCACTTGCTGAAAGCTAACCTTTGGTAGGAGCGTATTTGAAAATCATAGAGGCGCGGGAAGTGCTTTCTACTCGCTAGATCCATGTGACATGAGTAGCAAAATCTGGCACAAAGGTTGTACATTTCGTGATGCCAGTGCTACGTGGCGCTGGTGAACTTCAATGCCTCGTTCCCGACAACAGTCTGAGTAGGTAATCATATCAGCGTTTGAAATAATAGCAGCACGGAAGATACGCACCTTTTTTACATTTCCGATCCCAGTAACTTGACCCGTTGCATTCGCTCCCATGATGTTGGCATAATTGGTTGACATCAACTGAACGCCGGTCACGAAGCCCTTGCCGTCAAATCCGCAATGCCCACCTCCATTGGGCGTGTTATCCACGGTCTGCGTGACTCCAATTTGCGCTGCCGACATTCCCGCGGTCGTAGCGAGCTTCTCATACGCCGTGATAGCTTTTGGAATTGCTGGCTGAAGAAGTGCGAGCTCGTCCTGAGTACTCTGGAAATGGATCTTCATGCTTGTAGCAAGGGTTGCAGCATTGGCAACATTGACTTGTGGGACTAGGGCACCACAATTCAGCACCACGCCGGTCTTGTATTGCGCTCCGAAAGCTGGAACGAAGAATCCAGACAGGAGAAGCGATCCTCCAGAGACACCAGTGAAGAAAACATTTCCAGGATCGAATGCCATGTCTTTCGGAAGTTGATTTTGGATAAGTGAGTTGACCGCTGCAGCATGTGCAACCCCATCGGTTCGCTGTAAACCACTCCCGCCACCCCAAAAGAGATTTTTGTTTGGCGCAAGGACGACAACGCCCATGAGGTTGTTCTGGACTGCTTGATTCGGAAAGTCGAAGAACGATTGTCCACCATCTCCATGTAAGAGGACATTTAAGCCGGCCGTTCCTGTCGAATTGGCCGTGGCTGCTGCACCTGTAACTCCAGAAGCTGCTGTGAATGATTTGGCTGGGGCACTGATCTTGTAGCGAATTGACAGGCCGCTGTTCCTGTCAGTGATCTGTCTCCAATGTTGGTGGGAAGATTAACTTAATCGTCACGGTCTTGTCCAGAATTGTTGATCCATCCGTTGCTTTCGTTATTCCACCGGAAGAAGAAGCGGCAGCGGCAGCGGCAGCGTTGGCCTTGGTATTAGATGTCGTCCCTGTGGTCGCCGTACCCTTGTTCTTCGGCAGAGACTCAACGGGAAGGGCAAGAAAGGACAATAGGATGAACGAAACAATACGGATCCATGACTCGTACATTATGAAAACCAACGTCCAGCGTCAAATATCAAGGAAAGGAAGGAATGAATGGGGATGAAGATCAGAGACACGACACTTGCCAAAGCTGGGACGAAAGCCCGTTTTGTCGGAATTCATGAACTGACGGTTTGACCTTGAGAAACTTCTTGAAGCATTTAAGAGCCTTCAAACTGCCAAGTCTGTTTCCCCAAGACTTTATCCTGGGGGTGGTCGTGCCGAGAACCCAATGCGGAAGCATACTGTTTGACTTGGCGACCAAGCCGAAGGCGTCATTGGATCGGATTGATTTCCATTGTGGCTTCGGAGTGGGAGATCGTGTCAAAATGATCTGACTGTCCGCTAGTCCTCGAGCATTCGACGGCGCGTGGGGTTTGATATGTAGAAGCGGGAGGGGTTGGAGTTTGAAGATGCAGATGAAAGATGAAAGATGACAGGAGAAAATAGGTACGGTAAGCTTGGGGGCGGGAAGTGCGGAACTAGTCACGTGCTGGTCGGGTTTCTCTCCCTCTCCCTCTCCCTCTCCCTCTCCCACCTCTCCATCACACATTCACGCTGGTGAATCAACAACACTTCTGCTATTAGACGTATTAGGGTATCATCAGTCTCAAGCACCGACGCCCGGCCCTCACAATCATGCACAGCCTGCGAGAACGACCTCAGTTGCAATGTCCAGCCGAAATAGGGCGGCGTTGCTCGCAGTCCACCTCGTTGAGCGACCTCGACGCCGAGAAAAGCCGAGGAAGCTGTTTACAACTTGAGAACCAGACATTCCGAGCATCCGTGAGCATCCATAAGCAAGTTGGCGGCCAGAACAACCAGTATGAACACGTATACGAAGAGTCGATTTTCAACTGGCAACCACGCCGGCACGCTTGGAGCAACGAGCTATCAAATCCGGCATCAATTACGACGCCTAAAACAAAAATAAACGCATCCGTTGAACGAAACTTGCACCTTCAAGCTTAAATGACGCATTGGCCAAGATCCATCTCACAACAGAAAGACCAACTCTGCCATCCTTCCATAGAACCGTTATTCGTCGACGTCTCTCGGATCGTGTTCTTTCCAAAACTTCTCATACTCTTCCCAGCTCTGTGTTTGAAACTCCTCAGGCTGGGTAATGGGGGCAAGCGGTATACCCAAGTGGTCGAATTTTTCAAACCGCTGCTTCGTCAAATCTCGACTCTTGTTGATGCTATAGACACTGATTCTATGAGCTGAACTTGTCACATGAAGACCCCAATTCCATGCGGCGCGGACGGCCAAAGGCTGGGTATTTAGGGAATTATCCCAGCATCGGCAGACGATTTCGATCCATCCTTCAACGTCGCAAGGAAGGTCATACTCCCAAGTTCGCCATGTCCACTTGCCCTTCTTTGACAAGTTCTCGTTAGGCACAGAGTACCAACTGAAGCCGCCATCAGCAGACAATTCCACTCGCTCAGGCCATCTTCCACCACCAGAATAGGCCCAGCCTTTGCACCGGATCGAGCCGTTATGTATGACAACTTGTTTCGTCCAGGGAGACATAATTGCGCTGCTCACCGGCATCTCTTGAATCTGAATCCCGTCCGTTGGACGTTGATTATGCTTGCCGACTTGCTGGTTGAAGTAAAGATACTCCTTGCTCTGGACAGGCGCCAGAGAGGGAGTCTCAATGGCTTTAATCCGGTAAAGCCACTTAACACTTCGAGCGCCGATATATCCCAGCACTACCACTCTCAATGGATAACCGTGGATCTTGGGCAATGGCTCGCCGTTCATTTCCCAGACAAGCATGACCTCGTTCGCCTTGACCTTCGACCATGGAACGCTCACGAGGTAGTTCATGACCTGGTCGGCCTTGAAATAGGTCTCGGCACCATAGAGTTCCAGGTGTTTCGCTCCATTGATAAGGCCACCGCAGTCCTTGATCACCTTTTTCAGGCTGACCCCGACATATTTCGCTGTTCCAATTGCACCTTCTGCCCATGGGGCCTGCGGAAGTTCGTCTCCCTGCCCAGGGTACAGACAGATTTGCTCTATCCGACGAGTTCCAGAGCACTGCGGACGTCACAAGTTAGCATTGCCTGGCGAAGTGCAAGGAGCCGCAAGATACCCTCGCGGTCTTTCTTTGAAAGATATTCATGGTGAGGAATTAAATCGCGAGACATCCAAAGGAGATGCTCATCTAACCAAACACTTACCTGCATCGTGACTACTTTCTCCATCCGCGGAAATTTAGACTCATCCATCAAATCATCGAGGCTGTAAACTTTCGGGTCGGCGACTAGTCCATCTAGGGTCATGCTAAATTTGTCCTTGTCGATTATGGGTATGCCGCCATGGTTTCGAACGAAATGAAGAGGATTTGGTGTGACCGGCTTCGACGTCACAAGTCGTTTTGGAGGTTCGCCATTGTAGGGAAACTGAAGAAGATGCAACATCTCAGGGTGTTTCTCCTTCAAGACCATTGCCCAAGAGTCGTCGGGAACCGAATCCAGCTCGCCGCCGAGTGCCTGATGCCACAATTTCCAACGATATCCGTCAAGAACGGGATTCGTGTCTGGAATTGGTGACATTTGGTATTCTGGATGCGGGGGGAAAGATTGAGAGGTGAGTATCTTATGGGCTATGGCCTTCTTCTCCGGATACTTTTCCCATTCCACATACCTGAAATCTATTAACTGAATCGTCAAATCAGGCGTTTTGGAGAAAATACTTACCCTTTCCAACCTTCGAGTTCTCTAGCAAAGAGTTGCTTCGGGTCACCGAAAGCTTTGATAGCCTCTTCATCTTTCCAGAAACCTACCCATTTCTGCGGTGGGATTGCAACTGTGTCACGCCCAGTCTGGTCGAGGAAGGGCAGCTCAGCACCTGCTAGGCCTTGTTCAATTTTCCATTCATTAGGCCGATTGACAGTCTCCATTTCGAATACGTTCTCCGTAAGGGCGGCCGGATCGAATCAACTTTCCAATGTGTCTCACAAGCTAAATTTATGTGCTTGCCAAAGTTTTCCGCTCTGAGATATGGGGTTTTTGGAGCTTAAACGGTGAGGTCATGCAAGTTGACAGGGGCTATCCACAACAACCGTCATCGGTACCACGGAGCAAGGACCCATAAAACTGCAAGTAATCATGTCGCATCAGATGTTAGCTCTTAGAAAGAAGGTTTGCCAGCCAATGGGTTTCGAGAGAGGTTCCGCAACTTCGAACTCGCTCGCCTTCGTCGATATCTCGGCAAACAAAGCCCGAGATTTCTGTCCGCGTCCGAGAGAATAATTGTCGTGTCTTGCTACGACATTCCTTCATCCAACTCGCTTTCTGCATCGGATCTGCGCTATGCGCGGAACCAGACCAGTGGAACTATTCCGGTTTTGCGTGATCTGATCATTGAGGCTTCGGTGAGCCACATTGCCGGCTCAAATTTGCCTTCCCGAGTAACAGTTCTCCATTCGCTCTTTTTATGCCTCTCGGAAGTTATCCTTAAGTTGAGCTGCACTTCAAGACTTGTCTCCGCGAGGTGGATCAACATCTGCATGTTTTATGCAACTCCTTCTGTCAGCAGTTTAGCTGATTGGCAAGGCATATGTAACCCAACCCAGCATCAGCTCAACCCTCCAAACTGTGTCGCAAAGATTGAGGAATGGAGTATAACTGGCCCCCGACTCTCCTGGCCAGTTGATTCTGGTTGAACATCTGGTTGCAGCAATGTTCCTTGAACGGTCTTGGCTCTAAGCTTGCATATCCGTGTGAAAAGTGCAGCTCAGCACAGGGCCATGTGTTCGCCGGATAGTGTCCTTTTCCCAGATATCCTGAAAACGGGTCCAGCCATTGGTTTGCATCTTTGCTCCTAGCGTCTCCTGCACTGACACGTTCAAACACGGCCCCGCATGCAGAACCAGCGGCAGATAGAAGCACCTCAAATGAGGGGTTAAGATATGTACAAGCTCCCTGCTTCTCCCATGTACCTTGTCAGTGCGAAGCTGTTGACTTTTAAGAGGAGCAAATGACCAACATTTCCATGGAAACAATCCAATGGCAATATCCATGCTGATTTCTCAAGATATCGGCTCCTTGAATACCTGAAGTATTTGGAATGCACTTCGGCCAATGAGTTCGGCCCAGTTAGCTGAGGCGATTAACAGAATTTTAAACGTCTGGCTCAGAATGATTTAGCCTTTACTCGGCATCTGGCAATTTGACGATACACGGCAAATCGCAAAGGGTACCAGATTGTAGGGATGGTGCTTCTGCTGTGGTCTGCTTAGTAACTCTTCCTTGTCCCAGTTACGAGATCCCGCCCCCGGTTCGACTGTCCCGAAGCCTCCGACTAGCGATTATCATTTCCCGATTGGATATTTTATAAAACCATCACTCAATTTATTGTGATAAGTCATCCAAGCGTTGAGTTCTCTTCATTTTTATTTACAATTTTTGGCACATGTTGTCCTGTTTTCCTTGAGATCTGATCTGGGATTTTCAACCAGGAGTTGCTCTCCATCACCCCTCTGCTTAGCACCCTTCAACCTATATTTGATGCATCATGAAACAATCGCCAGAGGTGGTCTCAAGATTGCTTCATGATTCGTTGACTCCGGCTGACGGACCTTCATGTACAAAATGTGGCAAGCCACCCAGAGGGAATTCGAGTTCCCAGCAAGAATTCGAACCACCCCACGAAAGCCACAAACTTGCAGAGCAGAGCTCTTGTGACTGATTCTTCGATCATTCAACATGGTACTTGCCCTGTACAATATGGTCTTCACTCGAGACAGGTCTTGAAACTAGGAACAAAAGAACGTAACTGACCCGACTTACACACTTGCTGGATGTATTCCAGCCCAGTTCCATTGCCAGTCGGCCCAAGTCAGACCCTGACATAGGTCAACTCAGTGAGAATCCCGCATCTGTTTTGCGGATTCGAGCCGGGCAAGGAAATGGGGACTCTCAGTATTGTGTGATACTGAACTGATCGAGTGACACTGGTACATTGTGCTCGAGAGAGAACCATAGAGAGGTACAAAGACCAAATTATGCCACTTTAGTGTCACGTCTGACTTTTCACAGGGGTGTTCACACAGAGGCTACCGGCATGTGGAAAATTCGAAGTGGCACATGATAACAGCGGTCTCGCCGACACCAAATTCCTAAATGGGATCGGGAAGGTAACGAAAGCACTACAGTTTCTCGACCATGGCCGGCGAGAAAAGCTCCAGTGATACAGTTTGAGATGTACGAGGCCGGGCATTGCGCTCCTTCACAGAAGATGGGGACCAGGAATTTGCGTTCAACGACCTGCCAGTCTTCTCCATTCGAGACCCAATCAGTTCCCAAGCATGAATCGAACCCATAAACGATATCGGCAAACCGATGTCTTTGATCCAGGCATATTTTGGGACTTTCACGTCAACAATTTGGAAGGCATACATGCGTTGATGCATCTTTTTTGGGCAGCGTGGCATACCTGCCTCTCTTCAGCACTTCAATGCATTTAGTGTTCACACATATACCCTCAGGAAGGAGGTGCGTATCTCTATTGGACGAGTAATTTTGAGCTAGTATATTTGATCGGGGTGGGAGCTACAGATACGTAAAATGGCACTGGAAACTAGACGCAGGCATCGAGACATTGGACTCGGCAACGGCCTAAGATTGGCTGGCGAGGAACCCAACTACCACGTCAAAGCCTCTTCAGCGCCGCTGAGAAGGCGACTATCCGACTTAGACTTTGTACGTGCAAGTAACTGACAAGCACCTCATCCCCCCTCCCTTTGCCGACAAGCAAGCAGCTAACCATCGCCCCTCAGGTCCTCCAAGCAAGAATCTTCTCCTACACCTCCTCGCCCGCCACCGCCTGAGCGCAAAGTACGAGCTACACCCCCCAAACCCACCCCTCTCCGCCGTCTACGGCCTCTACCAACCCCACTCCTCTCCACAATCAACGGCAACTATGGCGGAGACCCAGATTACATGCGCTCTGGCTTTCGCAAGATTCAGTTCAGACATATGCATTTGACATCCAGAGATGGAGGGCCATGGGGTATGGAGCGGTAGGATAGGGGGTTTGCTACAGAGGTCACGGAGAGAGTTTGTGCAGAGCAGGGAGCTGTGGGGGGATTATTAGGGGAGGGGGGGTATTTTTGGAGAATGTGATGCTGAGTTTGGTGTAGGTTGAGGAGGGGTTGGGTGATAAGCCATTAGTGAGTCTTATTGTGATGGGTTGGGTATGGGTGACTGACGAGCTTGAGGCGCTGTTCTTGAGGGTTGATGAGGGGCCTAGGGAGCTTATTGCGGGGGCTGTTAAGGGATGGAGGAGCAAAGCTGCTTGAACATGTTGAGACGGTTGGTAATGTGAGTATACACAGAAGAGGAGTGAGAGCGGTAGGTCTGTATTTTGATTCCAGCTTTGTTTTCTAATTGAATTTTTACTCATTCCTATCACCATGCAGTTTGGAAGCCCGGTTAGCTGAGTAGCAATTCCAATTCTCCAAACTGTTAGACTGACAAAGCATTAGCTGGTAAGATTGGTTAAGATGGAGCAGCCTATTTCAAGGAAATACATTTCTCATTCGAAGCCATTTCCCATCCACCCTCACTTCACCTCACTTTCTTCCTCCCACACCCGCCCAGCGACCATCCCCCCATCAACCAAGACATCGGTCCCCGTAATATAACTCGCATCCTGCCCACACAAGAACGCGACCACGCCCGCAACATCACCCGGCGTCCCCACCCTCTTGCACGCACTCAACCCCACCATACCCATCACCACCCTCCCCCTCTCGCCCTTCAACTCCAGCTCCCCCATCGGCGTCCGGACGATCCCCGGACTGACGCTATTAATCCTCGCCCCCCTCTCGCCATACCTCTTCGCACTCGCCCGGACGCGAAGGATGTTGCCCCTCTTCGCCAGACAGTACGCCAGCCTGGGGTCCGTCGGGAAGCCGTCCAAGACCAACTCCGCCGCCGTCGCGCTGGCCAGATGCGCCTCCAGCTCCGGAGCGAGGTTTGCGAGATGCCCCGCCATGCTGCTAATGCAAACCAGACTGCCGCCGTCCGCGACAAACGGATAGAACGCGTCGATCACGTTCGCCGTGCCCTGCAAATCGACCTCGTAGATCCGCGCCGCCGTCGTCGCCGTGGCCGGCGAGACGCCCGCGGTGTGGATGATGGTCGAGAAGGGCCCGAGCGCCGCCATTGCTTGCACGGACGAGAGAGAGGAGACGTCGATGCGGATGGACGAGATGGCGTAGCCTTCGGAGAGGAGCGTTGCGGTTGCCCGGTCCGGGTTGATGTCTCCTAGGATTATTCGACGGCCTGAACCCAGACGCCGGGCGATGGCGAGGCCCATGCCGCCGGAGCCGATTATGGCGAGGAGGCCTTGGGACATTGTCTGCAATTCTTTTCTCTCCCGTTTTGTTCTCCGTGGGCAGAGGATTTTCCGGGGACAGAGGAGGTTGGGTGGTGGTTGAGGTGGTTATATATTGCCTGGTGGTGGTACCGGATTTTGGAGATGGAATTGATTCTCCATTGGGACAATACCCGGAACTGATGCATTGTGCAAAGGACGCGCTTTGCCAGTTATTAAGCCGAGTTCGAAAACCGGGCCGTTTCATGGATTTTCAAGTCCTGCTGCGCAGCGACTGTTTATTTTCGTCAGTCTCCCCCCCTGTTCCCCCACATGGTTTATTCCCCTGCCGTGCCGGGACTGGACATTGAGGACCCCAGGGGTTTCCTTGTGGCTCTCCAGCCCCCCCCTAAAGGGAAATCCAGGTCCAGAAGACATCAAAAGAAGTCCTCCTAACTTCCCTTCCAACACGCCAGCCGTCTCATCCTGTTTGACATATTATTTATTTTTATTTTTCTAAAGTGAAAAGGAAAGTAACACTGGGTATATCTCTCACGGTACTCTCGACCAATCCCTACAGCCACCAAACACGGTCCTGCAGAACTTCCCGAACTCTACTTTCAGGTTGGGCCTCTTCCAACTGCCCTGTGCACGGTGCAGGACCCGGGCGTCGGGATCAGTGATGGGTTTCGAGCCCATGCCGTGCCATTTGCCTCGCCCTGGGCTGTTGAGCAGTGTTAGTAACTAAGAATTTATATACTTGGATTGTAGATTGAAGGTGCAAGACGAACAGGAGGTACGTACCTGAACGCTGTGATAGGGAATATCAATGTGTCTCCCACCGCCTTACTTCGCCCGTGATCCACCAACCCTGTCAGTGCATCCCACCTCAACCCTGTCTCCTTCTCCAACCACTCTTTCGTGGCCAGCGTGACGGCCGCAGGGCCTGTAAGTTCTATCGGATCCACACGGTACAAGGCGTTCTTTATCGCCTTGGGGTCTCCCTCGTAAGGACGAGTCACCTCTTTCACCATCGCGGCAAAGTTCGAGACGAACGATTTGAGAATTGGATGGTTTGGTGCAGAGGCAAGTGCCCATTGCGTCAATTGGACGGGATAGTTGTAGCCCATTCGCCAGTAGTCGTCGGTGTCGGGCCTGTTGTCTCCTTCGATGCCTAGGATAAGTTCAATCGGTTGCTTTACTGATGACCCCCTGGCAATGGTGCTGTAAGTCGTGCCCGTTTGGGGGTCCGTCCAGGCGGAAACGTCCTTCTCGTCAAGCCACGACGCTGGTGACCGGAGTGGGAGCGTGTCGACGTCTCCATACTGCCAGGGAATTAGAATCAGAACTCTTTCGGGGGATGCCCCGGACTTACAACTCCACCAATCAACTTCACGACCAGAATCCTGAACACATCCGACTTCTCCACCATCAATGGCATGGCATCCACGTACTCCGCCAGATCCGGCTGCAACCCAGAGACCAGCTGCCTGCACCCTTCATCCAGCCACAAGAAATAAGCCATGCTCTCATTCCCCGCCGCCGTCGCATAAGTCAGCCACTTCTCGACCCCCTCGAGCACATCCGGCTTCCACGTGACCAGATCCGTATCCTTCCACGTCTGATGGATGATCAAGGGAATCTTGGAGTAAGGGATATTATGGTTCCCCTTGACAGCCAAGCGTTGCGCCAATTGGGCCGCCTCGAGGATATTCCTCGGGGCAGGCTCCGAGGGGTCTAGCCACTCAGGGGGGATGTACCAGGCTGCAGGCACGTGATTAGCATATGGAACACCTCAGCCTTGTCGTGGACCACCACGTCCAAGACATCAGAAGTATCGTGAGGATTGGGTCGCGATTGAGAGACGTACCTCCGCTGCGGGTGCTCGCCAACGACACATGTTTCCAGGCCAGCGGGTAGCGTTCGGGGTAGAAGCCCTCGTCGCGGGTGGCCTTGACGCTGCGCGTCGAGTGCCACGACCAGAGCGCGATAAGGAGCAGCAGGGCGAGGATCAGTGGCTGTCGCCGGCGTTTCGAGGCGGGGAGGCTGTAGCTGATCATCGCAATCGTGGGGACCAGAGGGTGTTAAATTGAGAATGGCATTGAGACGAGGGAGAGAGAGAGGGAGGGAGGCGAGGAGGAGGAGCGACAGACGACGTTGCGGTTGCGGTTGAGGTTGAACAGGACGTGAGGATCAGGATGTCGCCCAGGCGATCCAATTTGTGGCTGCACTGCCTGCGCCGGGCTGCTGCTGGGTGCTGCTTGGTGCTTGCTGCGCCTCGGCCGTTCTGTCGTGTACGCGCCGTACCGCGAATCGAAATGCAGACATTGCCCCCTTCCCCCCACCATCCCAATTTCAGCCATCGTTTACCTCGTTAGCGTCAAACCCCGTTCCTGACCCTGGATCCGGACAAAACTGCCTAAATACTTTGGACCCCCTTTCTCTTGTCAAGACGAGTGTAAATTACTAGAGTAAGCAAAGACCCCTATTTCTCTCGACCTTCGGAGTTGAGTTCAACAATTTCAGTTTCTCAAGACTCAAGAGACATTTAGCTCCACTAAGGTTATCGGATGTACTGTACTGTACCTACCTATCTGATGTCGCTTCGTCGAGAGTTGCCTGCGGCATTTTCGGATCGTCGTATCAAGTGCTGCGTCGCAAGCTGGGCGTGAATAATCCGCGTCTTTGTCGAGACCTGCAGCCTATCTGCCGCCGCGGGAGACGTGTCGCTCGCCTGATCTGCGAGGCTCTGTGCTATTTAGGGTAAGGTTCTGACATTCATTACTCCGTCGTTTCTGTGGTTGTGAGCCTGAGGTGGCCAGAAAGCGCATCCCGTGGATGACCGGCGCCGTACGGGGTCTCCGAGGCTGCTTAGGGCATGCCGCTCGCACGAGTACGGTCAAATACGGTCTGCGATCAATTTCTCCTATCCCCCAAAATGCGATAAGATGGGGCCTCTCCCAGTAGATCTGTGGCTTTGGAACGTTGACAGCCTGTTCAAAGTCCGCCTGGTCACTCATGTCAAGTCACGTGGCTGATGGCTTCGCAGTGACATCCATGATATGCCGCTTCAAGGAGTGGTTACAATATCTCTTGCGATCTAGAGTAAGAGTATTTTGGATTCCAATGATGAAAAGATATGAGTCCAGGAGCAGAGCACCTCCCTCAACCTTGACCTTCTTTTTGCATCACGTGCACGATCTCACAAGGGTGGGTCCGAGGCCCATCAGAAACTCTTGGAATATGAAAAGATATTCAGATGAGTTTGCATTCTTCAAATCCAGCTTCTTAAGAGATGGAGTTCAACTTCGCTTGATTTTATTATTGCCTCGACAAAGAGGTCTCCCGGAAGTACACCGACCACACAATTCTTCGCAAAAAGGCAGTATGAAATAGCCAAGCACCAACATAACCAATTGACTTTCGGCCACCCATTGAAAGCTTACAAAAGCATCAAGAGACCACCAAAGAGGGCCACAACTGCAAACTCAACGCCCACCCACGGCATCAGCATCCCCTGACCACCCGTAAACGGAGGAAGACCAGTCGATGTATTCTGCGGGAGACCCCCGGAACCGCTAATCGTCGGGCTCCCATTCGCCGTCGTCGTCGTCGCAGCAGCAGTTGGCGCCGAGCTGATCGAGCTAGGAGCAGCAGAGGAGCTCGTTTCCGCAGCGCCCGAAGCAGAGGTGGTAGAGCCAGAGGAGCCGCCTCCTGCCGAAGAGGCACACGAGCAGATGGCATTAGCAGCAATCAGGACTGATGCAGCATCTGCCGAGCAGGCCGAAAGCACGCAGCCTTGGGCGGCGGACTGGATTGCTAGGTATGCGGAGCTGGAACATTGGCAGGCGTACTCGAATTGGCCGCAGCCGACGAGGGAGGCGGCAGAACTGATGCAAGGAACCTGCAGAGGGTCAATTGAGTTGTGAGAACGAGGGAGGAACGACTTACTCCGCAGGTTGGAATGGCAGCTGTCAGGGAGTCGCAGGCAGTTTGTGCTTGAGCCCAAGCGGCAAGTCCGGAAACAACGATTAAGCTAGAGAACTTCATGATTGCACTGCCAAACTACTTTCAAACAACGAAGGTTGCGTTGTGAGGATGTTTCTGAGAACGAGTCTGTGGAAAACGAAGGTGGTGAGATCTCGGTCAGATATTTTGGGGGAGGGAGAGCTTGAAATACTATGAGTACTGTTCCACGTGGGAGGACCAACCACAGCACCGGGGACGGGTGTGGTAGAAAGAAAAATGAGCGAACGTGTGGAGGCACCTCATGGATCAATGCTTGACGGCCATTCTAAGGGATCTAGTCTGATCCGGCCAGAAATGGAAACATGTGTGGAAGGCATATTCGAATTGAGCAACTCTGGCCGCGTAAGGGCTGCGGTTCCCTCGGTGGGATGATAGTACCTCAACCTATTGAAGAGATCCCGAGGGAAACGCTGATAGCACATGTTGCTGGCAAGAAGATCGTCGCCCGAGGACGCTTGTCCCTGATGGTTTTCTGTGTCGAGGAACAAGGAAAAAGGTGCGAGACCTGGATTGGCGCCATAGGATTGGGTCGTCAGACGCAGCATCGATATGTGCTCTTTATTGGGAGAATGCGGGGTAAAAACGAGGATGGGGAAGCGGAGAACCCGATGGGTTTCCATGACTGCATGTGTTGTCGGACGGACCCCATGAATTGGGAAGCTGCCGGCCGAGACCTACCAATGCGGAGAGGAGGCACACAAATCAGAATGGTAGGCAACCTTTTCTGAGGAGGAAAACCTGATGCTACTTGGAAAGAAGCCGAAAGCGCTGGGAATGACATAGGCCGCAGAGGTGACTATGGGAGAGGCGTCCAATCGTACAGAGCGGGGTTTGCAAGGCTTGCTGACTGAGTAGGGTCTGCTTGCTCTCAAGCAAATATTGATGTCGGTCATACGATGTAGCTTCTAATGAAAATACAGGCACTTGTTGCTGCGCTTCGATTCGGCTCTTTCGTAGCGCTTCGGGTGAGCTCTCATCAACCATGCTGTTTAGTTTCAGAAGCGCGGGTATAAAATTGACTCGCCGTCCAACGAACGCGTAAATGGCAACACATGTTAATTGAAGGCCTGGTATCTAGGTCATTGACAAGCCTTAAAAGGATCTAACGGCATATCTTATAGAACAGAGATCAAGATAAGGTGATGAGAACTTTCCCATCAGCTTAGCTACAGTCTGTACGACGAGGTGGTTCAAATTCTTAGGCTGGGCGCGGTTCGAACCGTTAAATTTGGAGATCAATGCCATGGTTCTTGAGGTTTGCGAAGGATCGAGATGGCCACGTTGGTTCTCGTGATGAGATTTGAATGTCCGTGTGCTTACAGGACATACTGTACTTCTCCATTGATAGGGAAGAATTCCTTCGAGCAGCTGTGAAGTTGACGTTGGTTGAAAAGTGGAGTCTCAGGGGTGTTATCGCTGAACTCAGGCTAGCTTTAGGCGTTTGGCGGTAATCGTAAGCGCTGGAGCGACGCTACAAAGCGTCCTACAATCTCTGATCTTCCCATGCTTCTGTCAATAAGAGGGATTGATATAAGCATATGAATCCCGATAGTGAGAATGTTATTTGTCCTCAAATAGCTGTGATATCTCGATGTCAACTTCGTTCCATTCTAAGCCGGAGGGAAAACCCGTGGAGAGGTGCTATCACGTGCCGTATTTTGATCTCCCGCTGAAGTGTCCTCCAAATGCCTTATTTTTATGACAAAGGGCCACTATATAGCCTCTGTAATGATCTCGTGTCCGTTATTCATCATGACGACCTTCGTTAGCGTTACTTAAATTTAATGTCGCATGGTCTCTCGTGCCAATTTGAAGGGACAAACTCGAGCCTCTTCGATTTTCCTATAGACAGTCAAATTTCCCTAAAGGAGAGGTCGCGGCCGAGACCTCTGACAGCCCCTCTAAATACGATGGACTTTTTGTGGTTGGGTGCGAGTCGTGCCTAGGCCAGGCGGCAAAGTCGTTCTTGTGTAGGAAATCGAAGGTAGTCTTGCAAGCATCTCCTCTTCCTATATCGTCATCGAAGAGGCAGGTATGAGCTGTGTGTCCTGGGCTGGCATCTCCGTAGTTTCTAGGCTTGGTTAAGGAGTGGAATACAAAGCTGTCGCACGTCCAACTCTCGTCAATTCCTGCGCCATCCGCGTCTCTTCCTCGAACCGCCTGCTCCAAAGCCTCCAGTTCTTGTGTCTGCCCAGATCCCAGCTCCTAAAACTTGTTATATGTGTACCCAAGTCCATGCTCCTTCCTATGCTGCAATAACTCTAGCTGTGCGAGAATGCAAGCGCCTCGAATGCCCTCCTCACATGCCCGATCTGATTCGATTTCGATCGGGTACCGATGGATGGTTCGTTGTGGAGTCGCAGAGACGGCCAGATGGGTGCATTTAATTGGCAACCGTGTGCTTGTAAATAGAGAGCATTGTGGCTTTGATCGTGCTTGGCGGAAATAAAGCGTTGCGCCGGTGAATCGAGATGATAAGCGATCCTGAAGCTTCCGTTCCTGCCATCCTATAGTCATCGTGAGAAAATGACTTGGTTTTAATTGCAAATCACCCCCGGAAGATGCAATTTGTACCTTAAGAAGTTCAAGATGCAAAACGCGAAGTGCAGCCAGATGACCGTGCCTGACCTACAAAAAGGATAACCTAACGAGGATTCCGGCAAGGCCAACTATCGTGGCATGTTGAAAGAAGACTGCACTCCAGGATAGCACGATCCGAGAAGCAAGAAAATGATTTTGAAGCGGAGAGAAGGAATGTGACACAAGGAGAAGGTACTGCACAAGGAAGCCCTTCATCCCCCTGCACGTCATATTACACACAATCAGCACAACGAATCCGTTTCTAAACCGAGAAATGCATTGATTACTACCCGTGTGCCTGTCTGTATCAGACATACAATTTATTATTCATGCTCTCCTCACTCCATAATCGTCAATCCATTCTTCGCCCCCTTTATCCAACCGCCTACAACAGAATCATCCCCATTCCCGAAAGAAGAGCCGTAACTGTGAATCCCACCGCAAACACCTGTCCAACCCATGGGTTCGCGCCGTATGTCATTCCGCTGGCGTCACTCTTCTTGGATGATGAAGCAGCTCCGCCAGTTGAGCCAGAGACAGGGTTGCTGACTGTAGCTTGAGCAATGACACTTGCGCAAGAGCTCGCTGCGCCAGCTGGCTTGACGACTGCCGCAGCACCTCCGAAGTTACATGCATTGGCGGAACTCTTTTGTCCCTTGTAGTAGGTGTCGAAGGCGTTGGAGAGCTGCTCGGTGGCATTGCACATGGACCATGGACCGTAGGTGCCGGTAGTCGCGTTCTTTGAGACTCCAGAGCAGGGACTGCCTGGGTAGCCGCAGACTTGACCGAAGAGTTGGCCGATTACTGTACCATTGAGACTGGCGCTGGCCACGCAGCTGAGGGAGCTCACCATGCAGCTACAGGCGGCTTCGTTGGGAGTTGGTGGGAGAGGACTTGCGGCCACTGCCCAAGTGCTGGCATCAATTGTTGGGCAAGCTTGTCCGACAGTGTTAGTGGGGCTGTAGGATGCTGCGTTGACGGCACTTGGGGACACGGCAGCAATCGCGGTTTGCCAGGCGCCGAAATCTGCGAGCGTGCTGACGGAGCCGCCGCTTGCAGAGACCAAACCGTAGTCGTTCGCCTCTTCAAAGTATTCGTACACGATACCACCAGAGAAGACGGGGCTCATCTGTGATCCATACAGAGCTGCAACCTCGGAGAACTTTCGGCCGGCGGCTCCACCACCTTGAGTGTTGCATCCGTATTCGGCGAAGAAGGCTGGGACGGAGTATCCTGTGAATTCCTTGGTTCTATCGGCGTATCCAGATGTCTGGTAATTGGAGGCGCCGCACCACTCGTAGATGTTGTATCCCCAGAAATCGATTTGCGAAGCAACATCGCCACAGTTGAAGTATGCGGCCACATTGGCCCGAACGGTTGCATCATCATCAGCAGCATATCCAACACCCATAGCCCGATAACCCTTAGACTTGATATATGCCTTGGTATCACGCACAGCAGCCTTGACGAAGGGCGTGGAATCGATGTAGGTGAGGTTGTTGGGGACTTCGTTTCCGGCGAAGAATCCGATGACGTTGCTGTATTTCGACATGGAATCAACAACGGCCGTGTATCGAGCATACAGCGCGGTGTTCCATTCTGGGCTCGTGCGATCAATTGACAGGTTGGGCTCTCCCAGATCGCTGATCACGTAGATTCCGGCGGCGTCCAATAAGCTCATACAGGTGTCATGATCTGCGGTTGGATCGAGGGCATAAGTACGGATTGTGTTCGCGCCGAGCTGCTTGAGTTTGGGGACGTCTCGAGTGCAGGCCGCAGTATTAGCAAGAGGGTCGACAAAGCTAGTCTGCTTCACATCAGTGGAAATCCTCATTCCGTGCGTTGGACGCGATTCTTACGGATCCGCTGCTGGTGGCTCCGCCGCCATTGTTGGAGACACCGGATTGATAAGCTACGCCCTTGATGAAGAATTGGGTGCCATTGGTTTTGTAGAAGAACTTGGCTCCCTGCGATGGGTGTCAGATGGATGGCACTCGCTTTACGACGTCTTGTTTCGATGACCGCATACCTTGATTACAATGGGATCGAGAGTAGCGGACGCGCCTGTGAAAAGCACAGCAGTCGCTGTCAACAAGGACAGTAGAGAAGAAGATTTGCCCATCATGGTGATGGAATGTGGGTGCAAGTGTGCGCAGAACGAGAGACGAGAATTGAAAACGACAGACGAGTTGGGCTGGTTGACTGAGTGATTGATTGATTGATGCACGAGATAGATGGAAAGGCCGTGGGTGGTGGGTGGTGGGTGCGGTTTTTCCAAGAAGGTGCAGGAAGGGGCGGGTGCTGCATCCCAGAGCGGAAGCAGAGGCGCAGAATACGAACCAATAATCCAATCTCGCGTGGTGAGAGGCGGGTGCAGCACTGCAGACCCGCAGGACGGCTGCCTTTGCCTTTCTTCCTCTGCCCTTGTCCGAGGGGTCGCGGTGCGCCCGCAGAACTGGTGGGCTGAATATCCTGGCATCAAATCAGGCCCGTCGAATGCGCCATAATAGGCAGACCCAGGCCATCAGCTCGTGTGAGGCTGGATCATCCTGCAGGAGCCAGGAGATGAAAGTCTCAAAAATGATCCGTTGCTATTTTGTCACCGATATTCAGCGCGATGCTGCTACTGTATCAATTGCCAACACTTTCCACGATCAACATGTGAGCCGAGTAAATGACCTCATTTAAGAAATTAAGAAACAATAAGCCTACCCCCGTCTCCACCAAGGAAGCTTGAAGAAGAAACAAGCTCCGGTCGACCCGCCGGCGTGGGTCCAAGGAAAATAGTTCCGGTGGGGTTTCGCATTGAGTTCGCGCGCTCTGATGTTCTCACGTGTTCACCACGCGTAGTTCTCAGAATAGGGGGCAATGTTTACAAAGCCCCTTTCCCTGAAGCCACGAGTGAAGAATGACAACAGGATGTACAATATTAACCTGCAGCTGAATGTAATCGCTTTCTGTTTCTCTTTGGAATGTTGGACTGAAGCATTTGGACTGAAGCATCTGGGCTCTCGCTCCCTCCTCCACCTGGTTCCCGTGAAGCGCAACTTCTCGTAAGCCAGATTTCAGATGAAAGCCGCGAGTGGATTAATATTCCTATCAAGAAACAATTGGCGAAGAATACGGATATCTTCCTCGTCTACGGCTAAGAACTTCCAACAAAAAACTCTTTTTACTATGTCAGGAGTTTCTTCCCAGGCTGTTTCTTAAATGATTTACCCTTAAAATGCCTCCGGCAGTCTCTTGCAAAACATTGTCATGTAATTGGTGATTTCTACAAGACCGGATTCTTTGAAACCACTGACGCGTTTCCCTGCAAAATCTTCTATGAGTTGTGTTGCTTCGACCTCAATGACAAGGAGGTGTGGTCATATGATGTGAGGTGTTTGTTGGTAGGGCAATAAGACAATAGGATGAATCAGTGAGTTGTGAAACCACAGTGTCAAATTTAGTACAGAACTAATCTCTGTTCCTCCTATGAGGTCCAGAGAAGCCTCCTCTAAATTGGAGGCCCCGATAATGTATATATATTTAGTAATTCATAAACCTAAAGCCTATAATATAAATAGTAATATAATTATAATATTAAAGGGCTATTAATCTTTTTAATTAATATCTGCAATATTCAAGATTTATTATATATCTTTTAGTTATATATAACCCTATATATATTATAATAATGCCTTCTTTCTAGAATTTTATTCTTAAGATTTATTAATTTATTTTAGTAAAATATTTAATTATTTAATTATTTAATTAATTAATTATTTAATTGAGATAAATTTCTAGTATTTTAGAAAGTAGTTTTATTAATATAATTTGAGTAATAAATATAGAAATTATTTAATTAGATTAAGGCTAAATAAATAAGAAGTATTAGTAATTATATTCTAGATATAGGAGCTAGCTAATAATTATAATTTTATTTAAAAACTAAATATTCTAATAAGCCCGATTTAAAGTATTAGGGTATTACTTTTTACAATTAATATTAAATCTTATATTAAAATAATTCAAATAGCTTTATAAGAAGAATTTAATAAAATATTTATATAAGAAATTTATATAAATATTTTTAAGATTTTAGAAATTATTTACAGGCTTTTAGAAATATATATATTAATTAATTAGAATTAATATAAAATATAAATAATTAATTAAAATAATTCTTTATTATTATTTAAGAATTTCTTTATATTATTATATACTTTTTTTCTTCTAATAATTATATATATAATAATTTTTATTATTATTACTTTCTAGCCTTTTCTTTTATTTATTTTAAGTTTTCTTTAATTATTTTTAATTAATTTATAATATTTGGCTTTATTATTTATTCTTATAATAAATATAAAAATAATTTTATAGCCTTTTTTCTTATTATTAGTAAATACTTAAAATATTTTAAGTATTTACTTATTAATTTCTTTATTTTAAATATTATAGTACTTAATAAAAAGAATTATAACTATTATAATAAGAATTCTAAATCTTATATTTTAATAAATTCTTTAGCTTTAATATTTATTAAAGCTAATATAACTGTCGGAATAGCTGCACTGCGAATTTCCTGGTCATGTGACTAGTCATGTGATGTCGCGTCGCAGGCGTGACTCGACCGGTAGACTAGTCCCCATTAGGCTTAGCAGATTTAGGGATCGCATATTAATACTACAATATTACGATCCTTACTTCTAAATAATAACTTCACTAACCTTACGTAAATAGCACTTCCACGCCTACGTGACGGTGCCATGCGTTACTGGTGAACCGACACTAATCAGTTTGTATTCAGATCAGAACAAGGTCTATTTATATATATAGATCAGGAAGGATTAAGCTACGCTTGCCTAATATTCGGTTGCTTAGGGGCAAAGCCATCGTTCCAGTCAAAGAGAGGATAACTATTAATCCTATTACCTGTAATTCGGTTACATAGGCAGGAAAGATACTTAATCTTACTAAGGTCCGATTATACTATATCAAAGGAGGGAAACAATAGTCGCCTTTGCCTATAATTCGGTTCTATAGGGAGGAAAGACACTATTTCTTGCTAATTACCACCAAACGGTTAGCCATTTGACCATCTCCTATATCAAAAATCGCTCTTTCGCCGAGTACCCTCTGCGAACCACCGGAGTAACTATCAAAATCGCTCTTTTGTAAGGCCGAACACCCTTGCGAACCACCAGAGCAACCCTTAGTCAATCGCTCTTTCGCAAGGCCGAATACCCTCTGCGAACCACTAAAGCAACTATCAAAATCGCTCCTTTGCAAGGTTACGAACTCCTGAACCTCGCAAACCACTAGAGCAACCCTTGACCGAATTAACGATCCCTTACCCTTGGGAACCTGTCAAATACCTCCTACCCTCTGGAATACTACCCCACCCTCTGGAATACCACCCTCTGGAACACCCTTAAGGCACTTCAGCTTTAACTTCAGCTTTACCTTCAAGTTAAACCCCTTGAGCTTCAGAGCTTCAGAACCTCCTTCAGAACCCTCACCCCTCCTGGAATCGCGATATTTCACTTCTAAATTTCTCGTTACGGACGAAATATTTACGAACCCTCGCGAACCACCAACCCCTCTGTCCAGAAACGATAATCCTTCACCTTTGGGAGCCTGTCAAATACCTCTTCTTACCTCTCCTTCCACGAATACCTCGAATACCTCGAATTCTACGAATTACCTTACCTTTAACCCCCCCTCCTCCTTCGAACCATACATACATACACATACTAGGAAGAACCTAATATTAAAGATACCCGGGAAAACGTCCGACGTTACTTAGTACGGATTAAAAGGCCTCTAGTCGGGGAATTTACCGCCTGCGGGCAAATACCCTTTCCCTTCTAGGCATACTCAACCCCGTATCTAAACCTCTCGTACGAGTACCGTGATTTAGTATGGACTAGAAAATATAGGATAGGAAATATGGAAGAGTATAAATGGGGAAATAGAGTAATAAACTTGACCTAAGGATTACTACGGATAGTGAGATCCAAGAATATACAAGTACTAAGCTATACGAGTATATGAAATGCAATTACGGTAGCCATGGAACAAGCTATAATACCTAGCTCTTCTTTTACCAAGATTTCTATTACTTTATAATTAGGGACTTTAATTAGCTCGGATAATACTACCTAAAGGAGCTCAGGAATTAACTAAAGGAGACGTACCGTCCATTAACTAATAAGGATATTAATTTTGACCGTTTTATAGCTATATTCGAAGCTCTTCCAATTACGGAAGCTCTTTTAATTAAAGCTCTGCCAGTGGATACTAATACTAACGAACTAGCTATTCCAGTGGAAACTAACGAATTAGCTATTCCCTCTGCAAACGCTACCGAACTATTAATCTCTACCTTGGAAACTAATGAACCAGTAAAAACTAACGAACCTGCTATTCCTTTTGCAAATACTATTGAACCGTTAGTAGAAGATGCCCTTACCTTTAATACCCTTATTTTATCTCTTTTGACTACTACTCTCGTTTTACCTTAATTAATTCCTTTTACTAGTGGCTATCTAGCTTATACCCTCTCTTTACCTTCTTTAATTCCTACTACCGGTTTCGGACAATTTCATACCTTTTAATAAACTAATAGGAGTATTATACCTATCTATACCTCTGCTAGATTCAAATTCCAAGCTTTATAGCAGATAGGAGTGGGTTAAGCGAGAAATAGGCATATTAGATAAAAATAGGGCATACTAAATAGGAGAAACAAGTATACTGGGAATAGAAGAAATAGATATACTAGGAATAAATATATTAGTAAGAAATAGATATACTAGTGGGAAATAGACATACTAGTAGGAAATAAGAATATTAAATAGAAATATTAGATAGGAGGAATACTAAGCATTTGGGAGGTTTGAGACTAGGCCCAATTAGGAAATTAGTATATAATAGGAGGAAAGTACTATTTTTAGTATTTTTAGAGAGGTTCTAGTATTAGAATAGCTATACTATAAATTTCCTAGTTATATAACTAGTTATATAATATTGTATTACAGGCGTGACTCGACCGGTAAACTAGTCCCTATTAGGCTTAGTAGATTTAGGAATCACATATTAATACTATAATATTATAATTCTTACTTCTAAATAATAACTTTACTAACCTTATATAAATAGTACTTTTATGCCTATATAACGGTACCATGCATTACTAGTAAACTAATAATAACTTTAGATTTTTTATAGATTTTTTTTAAAGATTTACTAGTTTTAGGAAAATACTATTATTATTTTTAAGAAATTTCTTAAAGAAATATTATAAAATTTATTTTTAAGATACTAATCTTATTTTTATTAAAATTATAAAATAATTTATTATTAATATTTTAAGTATTAATAATATAATACTTATAAATATTTAAAATTTAATTTTAGAA